TACGAGTAGGCATTCATATTTTCCCGCAAAAACAATTACAGAGTTACCGGTCCTTCAAAACGTTCTTTGAGATATTCTTCCGCATGCTTTAACACAATTTTTCGGTACGTGTGCATTGATATTATCAATGATTTTTTACTTATATATATATATATCTAACTACAAAACATTTTCATATTATTAATTTATGTTGTAAACAAAAATATTTTCATCAGTATTCATTGAAGAGATGTATTTATATCAAACGATAAGGAATGTTATTTTGCATTCGTTTATGTGCGCATATTTATCATGTTTATAGATCGGTTACAAACCCAAAACTAATTTACATAATGGAAATCTAGGCGATAGCAATACATCGGAATGACCTCAAGGTCATCTTGATGTAAAAATCACATCTACTCTAACATTGTTAGGTTGATTTTCTAGGCACTTTCTATATATCATATGCATATATATTTCTCAATTGTAGCTGAGACACAAATACATTGTACCGGTTAACCAATTCTTGATGTTGACGTATTTAGTGTAGATTTCAGTCGTGTTTTCATAAAACCCTGCTAGATAAGTTTTTGCAAATGAAGTTCGTGCAATTTGAATGTGCACGCACGTAGTGTATTGCAATCGTGATATGTGAACGCCGTTTGTAGGATGAATCAGAGGGAGAATTGCTACTGAAAAATAATATGAAGTTGACAACTGTAAAACTGAAATCGCAACGTTGGTAATATATTTCAATCTGTCAATGTCAGGAAAGAGATCAAGATATGAATCAGACCATCTAAGTTCGTTAGTTGTTCACAGGGTATATGATATATAGGCTATTGAGCGACAGGGCATCCTCATTATATCTGAACGTGATTTTTGTGAATAAAAAAGTCGGCTAATAGGGATGTTCAATTTAGTATACCGACTACTGTTGAAATATTAAATCGACAATTATGTTATCAATAAAAAAAAATCCAGCATTTTGAAGATTTATTTTTGGAGTCAGTGTGGTTCTTAAAAAATCGTAAGGGTTTCGCGGAACCCCGTGTCTCGCCTGCGATTGCTGCTGTCAATCTAAAAGTGTAATGTTGAATTAAAAAGTGAGTCCTTTATCAGTAATATACAGATTACAAAAAATAAAGCTTTTTCTTTAGATGCTATGTCATGGTCTAGAAGATAAGATTCTGTCCAAGTTTCATAACAATCCATGAAGGTTAACAAATTTATCATATCAAAATTTTTTAATCCCACAGACTGTCTGTAAATGTTTAAAACTTTAAAAAACGAAGTCCATCTATCAGAAAAATATTGAAAATGAAAAAAAATACATTTTTAAAATTTTGCTTCAGACATTATCTCTTAATCATAAATAAACTGTTAACACAGAGATATGTCTCGCCTTTTTGTAATCTTGATAATGCAAATGTTGACATTAAAATAGCAATACTTCAACATGTAAGTTATGCAAATATTCAAAGTCAATAAACCATGATTGAAGGTACATGGCTAAACAATCTCTATGGAAATAAAATTTGCCAATGCTAATACAACTGCATACCAAATACCATTGACTTATCATAAGTTGTTTCCTTTAAACAAACCTAAACACAAACACTAACTTGTAAACTATGTAAAAGTTTCAAAGTCAATGAACCATGATGAGGGGGTGGGGCTATATAATCTCCATGGAAATGAGACTTGCAAATGCCAATAAATTTGCATACTAAATATTATTGACTTAACATTAACGGTTCATCTTAAACTGATTTAATTACAAACTAATATATGTAAACTAAGCAAAAGTTTCAAAATCAGTAGACCATGACTGAGGGGGCGGGGCCAAATATTCTCCATGGAAATGGGATGTGCTAATGCTTATACAACAGTATACCAATTAAAATTGGCCTACCACTAATGGTTCCCCTTGAACTGACCTAATCACAAACTAATACATGTAAACTAAGCAAAAGAGGGATGAAAGATACCAGAGGGACAGTCAAACTCATAGATCGAAAACAAACTGACAACGTCATGGCCAAAAATAAAAAGACAAACAGACAAATAATAGTACAGATGACACAACATAGAAAACTAAAGACTAAGCAACACGAACCCCACCAAAAACTGGGGGTGATCTCAGGTGCTCCGGAAGGGTAAGCAGATCCTGCTCCACATGTGGCACCCGTCGAGTTGCTTATGTTTCAAAGTCAATAGACCATGACTGAGGGGGGGGGGCGGAGCCAAATAATCTCCATGGAAATAAGATATGCCAATGCTTATACAACTGCATACACTCTAAAAAATGTGTTTAGAGCCTAAACACTTTCCTAAACACATTTATGAAACCGATTTTTGACATTTGTTAAATCTAAACATGTTTAATATTTAATGTGCTAACAGCCTAAACGTGTCAACCTATAAAGTGCTTAGAATGTAAACATGTTTAGCTGTAAAGCGTTTAGACTAGAAACACGTTAGCTAAAAAGTGCTTAGACTGTAAACATGTTTAGCTGTGAATTGTTGTATCTTGAAACATGTTTAGCTGAGAAGTGTTTTGTCTGGAAACACGTATAGCTGTGAAGTGTTTTGAATGTAAACATGTTTAGACCATAAAGGAGAATCCGTTACTTCATTAGACCCTAATTAAACTAATATTCCGGAAGGCTTGACTGTAAAACGTATGATAGCTCTCAATAAAACAGGTTTTCATACCATCACAAAAAGGAGCCAATGCATCAAACTAAGAAACTGGAATTTCCATATCAAATTGAATGTGACCAATACCTTTTCAATCTCAATGAGTTTTTTCTTTAATTCAATTCACGTCATTCGACTATTGCATTTTTTCTTCATTTCAAATATTCGTAAAACAGTCTAGAACTTTTGAATGAAATTATCATTATACTAATTCTAGCTTTAAAAACAAAATTACAACATATAAAACAAAGGAATTTATGTTATCATTTATTTCCAGTTTATCATTGAACACAATCAAAAATAAATTCATATCAAGGTACATGTACATAATATTGATCAATCTTCTACTTGTACCCCATCCCTACAACAAAACAATTTGAAAATGTCCTGTTTTCATTTTACAGGTCAATAAGAGCTTCTCCTTTCTTGGTACCCAACTGCTGGTCAATGGCCTGAAATATAGAAAAAATATTGATAAGAAACTAAGTAGAATTAATCTAAAAATATAAGAATACGAACTACACCACCAAAAAGTAAAAGCATGATTTAAGATCCAGATAACAACATTAGGACCGTGGTATAAAAACATAAATTTTCTGATGAATCAATTGATATTTTTTAATATAAAACTTCTTTTCATGCTTAATATTATTCATTTGATCAAATATATATTGGCATTTTTAAAATCAAATACACTTTTGATTCTTACCTAGCAGCATATTTGCTACTGTTCTTTATCTCCTCTTTTAGCATGCCAAGACAGATGATGATTTCCTCTGCACTTCTCTCATCTAGAATAAAACAATACATATCAATAAAATTATAAAAAAAATCACAACCGCTTATAACTATTGAAATAAACAAGCATCTTTCTATTTATTTTGAGGAAATGTTGATTGTGCATATCGGAAGTGCTCAAGAACAATGAACTCGATATGAAACTGGATTTGCGAATGATGCACCTCATCCTGATAAGACTCTGCATATTCCGCTACCCTTCATGTTCCATTATAATCTGCCGAGGAGTAACGAACGAAAATTATCCTCACAAACTCCTTTCCAAGAATATATATAAATAAAAAAATAAATGCAAACTTGCATGATAGAACATTAAACAACTCTTATCATCTATACACAAGATAGTTTGAACACTTAAAGCTCTTACAAGCACTTGTTTCGTGGGATGGTACCCCCTTTTCTCTCCTGCATTGACAATACGGTAGTGTACTTGTAAATAATGCTTATAACTGTCAATAATCATTTAAAAGTGGCAGTACAAAATAAAAGACAGTATAATCATAACTCCTTACCTTTCTGAAACAGTCAAGTTACGGTCAGTTATGGTCAGAAGTAAACGGCGTGGCCTTTGACTTCGGGTTCTTTGTTTCTTCTTCCCGCTCAAAAATTAGCACGTGATATGAATGCCGTATTCGGCCTAAATGTGTTGTAATTCTAAACGTGTTTAGGAAAGTGTCTAAATATTGAAAGTGCTTAGAATTTAAACACGTTTAGCTTTATATACTTGACAAAGTAGCTAAACATGTTTAGCACATCAACATGTTTATTGAAAAGTGCTGAGAGCCAAAACATGTTTATTGCGAAGTGCTGAGAGCCAAAAAATATTTTTTTTTTTTATGTTTAGATATTAAACACTTTCCTAAGCACATAAGTCTTGCAACACGTTTAATTTCTTAGCACAATTTTTACAGTGTACCAAGTATCATTGGCCTACCACTAGTGGTTCCCCATAAACTGACCTAATCACAAACTAATACATGTAAACTAAGCAAAAGTTTCGAAGTCAATAGACCATGACTAAAGGGTCAGGGCCAAATAATTTCCATTGAAATGAGATGTGCCAATGCTAATACAACTGCATACAAAATATCATTGACCTACCACTAGTGGTTCACCATGAACTAGACCTAATCACAAACTAATACATTGTTGACGCCGCCGCCGCCGCCGCCGCCGCCGCCGTCGACGCTGGAAACAGCATACCTATGTCTCGCTTTTTGGCTCTGTCAAGGTGAGACAAAAAGCTTCCGTCAAAGTTTCATAAAATTCTATGAAGGTTTGACAAAGTAATTGATGTGTAACAAACTTTAACCCCACTGCTGCCGACTGTATTTACTTGTTAAATGTAAAACAAGAGTGGACACACTGAAATGTCTCGCCTTCTTTACTAACCATTGATATTATGTTGATAGTCCTAAATGAAAGCTTTACTACAACTATTACATAAACTTTACATGATCCAAGAAAATGAAGTCAAGGTCATATAAACCAAACGAGAAATACATGTACACCTTATAATCATTCAATACACTAAATATAGTTGACCTATTGCTTATAGTTTCTAAGAAACAGACTTAACCAAGAAAACTAAACATTGACCAATGAATCGTGAAAATGAGGTCAAAGTCAGATGAACCATGCCAGGCAGACATGAACAGATTACAATCCTTCCATACAACAAATATAGCTGACCTATTGCTTATAGTTTAAGAAAAACAGACTGAAACATATAAACTTAACACTGAGCAATGAACCGTGAAAATGAGGTCAAGGTCAAATAAAACCTGCGAGACTGACATGTACATCATAGAATATTTCCATACACCAAATATAGTTGACTTATTGCATATAGTATAAGAAAAAAGACCAAAACTCAAAAACTTAACTTTGACCACTGAACCATGAAAATAAGGTCAAAGTCAGATGACACCTGCCAGTTGGACATGTACACCTTACAATCATTCCGTACACCAACTATAGTAGACCTATGGCATAAAGTATAAGAAAAACGGACCAAAACACAAAAACTTAACTATAACCACTGAACCATGAAAATGAGGTCAAGGTCAGATGACACCTGCCAGCTAGACATGTACACCTTACAATCATTCCATACACCAAATATAGTAGACCTATTGCATACAGTATAAGAAAAACAGACCAAAACACAACAAGAGTGCACACGCTGAAATGTCTCGCCTTCTTTACTAATCATTGATATTATGTTGATAGTCCTAAATATAAAGCTTTATTACAACTGTCACATAAACTTAACATTAACCAAGTAAACTAAACATTGACCAATGAACCATGAAAATGAGGTCAAGGTCAGATGAACCATGCTAGGCAGGCATGTACAGCTAACAATTCTTCCTTACAACAAATATAGTTGACCTATTGCTTATAGTTTAAGAAAAACAGACGAAAACACAAAAACTTAACACTGAGCAATGAACCTTGAAAATGAGGTCAAGGTCAAATAAAACCTGCGTAACTGACATATAGATCATAAAATATTTCCATACACCAAATATAGTTGAACTATTGCATATAGTATTAGAAAAAAAGACCAAAACTCAAAAACTTTAACTTTGACCACTGAACCATGAAAATGAGGTCAAGGTAAGATGACACCTGCCAGCTAGACATGTACACCTTACAATCATTCCATACACCAAATATAGCTGACCTATTGCATGCAGTATTAGAAAGAAAGACCAAAACTCAAAAACTTAACTTTGACCACTGAACCATGAAAATGAGGTCAAGGTCAGATGACACCTGCCAGCTAGACATGTACACCTTACAATCATTCCATACACCAAATATAGTAGACCTATTGCATACAGTATAAGAAAAACAGACCAAAACACAAAAACTTAACTATAACCACTGAACCATGAAAATGAGGTCAAGGTCAGATGACACCTGCCAGTTGGACATGTACACCTTACAGTCCTTCCATACACCGAATATACTAGACCTATTGCTTATAGTATCTGAGATATGGACTTGACCACGAAAACTTAACCTTGTTCACTGATCCATGAAATGAGGTCGAGGTCAAGTGAAAACTGTCTGACGGGCATGAGGACCTTGCAAGGTACGCACATACCAAATATAGTTATCCTATTACTTATAATAAGAGAGAATTTAACATTACAAAAAATCTGAACTTTTTTTTCAAGTAGTCACTGAACCATGAAAATGAGGTCAAGGACATTGGACATGTGACTGACGGAAACTTCGTAACATGAGGCATCCATATACAAAGTATGAAGCATCCAGGTCTTCCATCTTCTAAAATATAAAGCTTTTAAGAAGTTAGCTAACGCCGCCGCCGCCGCCGCCGCCGCCGCCACCGCCGGATCGCTATCCCTATGTCGAGCTTTCTGCGACAAAAGTCGCAGGCTCGACAAAAACTTAACTATAACCACTGAACCATGAAAATGAGGTCAAGGTCAGATGACACCTGCCAGTTGGACATGTACACCTTACAGTCCTTCCATACACCGAATATACTAGACCTATTGCTTATATTATCTGAGATATGGACTTGACCACCAAAACTTAACCTTGTTCACTGATCCATGAAATGAGGTCGAGGTCAAGTGAAAACTGTCTGACAGGCATGAGGACCTTGCAAGGTACGCACATACTAAATATAGTTATCCTATTACTTATAATAAGAGAGAATTTAACATTACAAAAAATCTGAACTTTTTTTTTCAAGTAGTCACTGAACCATGAAAATGAGGTCAAGGACATTGGACATTGGACTGACGGAAAGTTCGTAACATGAGGCATCCATATACAAAGTATGAAGCATCCAGGTCTTACACCTTCTAAAATATAAAGCTTTTAAGAAGTTAGCTAACGCCGCCGCCGCCGTAGCCGCCGCCGCCGCCGCCGGATCACTATCCCTATGTCGAGCTTTCTGCAACAAAAGTCGCAGGCTCGACAAAAAACTAAGTCCACCTATCCGTTAAATATTTAACAAGAGTGCACACGCTGAAATGTCTCGCCTTCTTTACTAATCATTGATATTATGTTGATAGTCCTAAATATAAAGCTTTAATACAACTGTCACATAAACTTCACATTAACCAAGTAAACTAAACATTGACCAATGAACCATGAAAATGAGGTCAAGGTCAGATGAACCATGCTAGGCAGGCATGTACAGCTAACAATTCTTCCATACAACAAGTATGGTTGACCTATTGCTTATAGTTTAAGAAAAACAGACCAAAACACAAAAACTTAACACTGAGCAATGAACCTTGAAAATGAGGTCAAGGTCAAATAAAACCTGCGTGACTGACATATAGATCATAAAATATTTCCATACACTAAATGTAGTTGAACTATTGCATATAGTATTAGAAAAAAAGATCAAATCTCAAAAACTTAACTTTGACCACTGAACCATGAAAATGAGGTCAAGGTCAGATGACACCTGCCAGCTAGACATGTACACCTTACAATCATTCCATACAGCAAATTTAGTAGACCTATTGCATGCAGTATTAGAAAAAAAGACCAAAACTCAAAAACTTAACTTTGACCACTGAACCATGAAAATGAGGTCAAGGTCAGATGACACCTGCCAGCTAGACATGTACACCTTACAATCATTCCATACACCAAATATTGTAGACCTATTGCATACAGTATAAGAAAAACAGACCAAAACACAAAAACTCAACTATAACCACTGAACCATGAAAATGAGGTCAAGGTCAGATGACACCTGCCAGCTAGACATGTACACCTTACAATCCTTCCATACACCAAATATAGTAGACCTATTGCATACAGTATAAGAAAAACAGACCAAAACACAAAAACTCAACTATAACCACTGAACCATGAAAATGAGGTCAAGGTCAGATGACACCTGCCAGCTAGACATGTACACCTTACAATCCTTCCATACACCAAATATAGTAGACCTATTGCATACAGTATAAGAAAAACAGACCAAAACACAAAAACTCAACTATAACCACTGAACCATGAAAATGAGGTCAAGGTCAGATGACACCTGCCAGCTAGACATGCACACCTTACAATCCTTCCATACACCAAATATAGTAGACCTATTGCATACAGTATAAGAAAAACAGACCAAAACACAAAAACTTAACTATAACCACTGAACCATGAAAACGAGGTCAAGGTCAGATGACACCTGCCAGTTGGACATGTACACCTTACAGTCCTTCCATACACCGAATATACTAGACCTATTGCTTATAGTATCTGAGATATGGACTTGACCACGAAAACTTAACCTTGTTCACTGATCCATGAAATGAGGTCGAGGTCAAGTGAAAACTGTCTGACGGGCATGAGGACCTTGCAAGGTACGCACATACCAAATATAGTTATCCTATTACTTATAATAAGAGAGAATTTAACATTACAAAAAATCTGAACTTTTTTTTCAAGTAGTCACTGAACCATGAAAATGAGGTCAAGGACATTGGACATGTGACTGACGGAAACTTCGTAACATGAGGCATCCATATACAAAGTATGAAGCATCCAGGTCTTCCACCCTCTAAAATATAAAGCTTTTAAGAAGTTAGCTAACGCCGCCGCCGCCGCCGGATCACTATCCCTATGTCGAGCTTTCTGCGACAAAAGTCGCAGGCTCGACAAAAATGAGAGAAAATATATTTACAAAATTTTGCTCTGAATACTGTATTTTGGTCATAACTAAGCTTCTGACCAAATTTCCCAAAATTCCATGAAGGTTTGACAAATTTAAAGTTATTGATGACTGAAAAACTTAACACTGTTTCTACTTTTTAAATGTAAAAACAACTAAGTCCATTTATCAGTAAAATACGGAAAATGAAAATAAATATTTTCCAAATTTTGCTCTGGATACTGTCTTTTGGTGATAAACAAGCTTTAGTCCAAATTTCCTTAAATTCCATGAAGGTTTGACAGAGTTATTGATGACTGAAAAACTTTAACCTCAGACTAAATCTGAATGTTAACTGTAAAAAAAACTAAGTCAATTTATCAGGAAGAAACGGAAAAATTAAAATAAATGTTTTCAAATTTTGCTCTTGATACTGTCTTTTGGTCATAAAGAAGCTTCTGTCCAAATTTCCTAAAATTCCATGAAGATTTGTCTAAAAAAAACTTTAACCACAGACTGAACCTAAAAGTTGACGCCGCCGACGCGTTGCCGACGCATACGCCGGAATATAGGATCGCTATGTCTCGCTTTCGCGACATAAATGTCGCAGGCTCGACAAAACTGTGTGTCCACGGAAAACACTGTTTGATAAGAAAATGCAGTCTTTCAATTAAGTAATAAAAGTGTACGGTGTGAAAAAAAAATCAAAGTTTTATGATTGTGATTGGAGATTTGGTAGTAGATCCTACGAATTTTTAAGAAACACCTTTTATCAAGTCTATCTCATCACAATGTTTAGAAAGCCATCTTTTACCGTAGAAGGAAGGGTAGTACGAAATTTAGAAAGACGGTTAGCGGAAAATCTAGACGATATAAAAATAAGGAAATGTGTTATAGTTGCCATACACCGTATCGCTATAACTGTACTTCTGAAAGGTTCTAGTAAAATTTTGACGGCAAAAGAGAAATTGTATGGTGTTGAATGACGTCAATAGTTAAAGTATCGCAAATTATCATGCCAAGTGTCGCAGATTCTAAAATTGCTATAAGGTCTAAGAGACAATTATCCACTATTAGCCAATTGCCAGACATATCGAATTCCATAGCCAATTACCTGAAGAAAAAGCTCTCGGTTACTGATGTACTTGAGGTCTATTCCAGGTTATAACGCCAGACAGACGAGTCAAAAGTAGACTGACACTTTATATGAACGGATCATAGCTGATAGGTCATGCATTCAATAGCTCGTCAAGAAACTACAAAGTATTATGCGAAAAATGCATAATTTCTTATATTTCTCAAGTTTGACACCACGGATGTTGAATATTGTCATGGTTTAAGAATGATGCAATGTGTTTATAAGATCTTTAAGAATTGTTATCCTTAAAAAGTAAAACCAGCTAACATTTTTAACCGGAAAAATCGGTTATTGATTTTAGGATGTACGGTGGGCGGGCGGGCGGCTGCCAAACAGTGTCCGTGCATTTACTCATGAACCGTTCAACCAAAGCTTTTCAAATTTTATTATGTTGTTACTGATGACAAAATAGAGGTCAAGTTCGATATTAACGATTTTCACTTTCACCGTTCAGGATTTATGGTTCTTGAAAGATTGAAAAATGGTGTTTCCAGTCGTGTCCGTGCTTTAACTCCTGAACAAGTCAACCAAAGCTTTTCAAATCTTATTATGTTGTTACTGATGACAAAATAGAGGTCAAGTTCGATATTAACGATTTTCACTTTCACCGTTCAGGGGTTATGGTTCTTGAAAGATTGAAAAGTCGTATCCGTGCATTAACCCATAAACCGTTCAACCAAAGCTTTTCAAATTTAATATGTTGTTACTGATGACAAAATGGAGGTCAAGTTTGATATTGACGATTTTCACTTTCACCGTTCAGGAGTTGTGGTTCTTGTGTTATTGAAAAATGCCAGGACACAAATAAATGTTAAAAAATCCGGTTTGCGGTCACTCTGACAGCCTCTGGTTTTCTATTATTTGGTGTAATTCACTGTGAAAAAAAAAACTGGGAACAACTCAACGAAGTTCTTTAAACATATTTACTGGCTACAATCAATTAAACACGTTCATAAATTCGTCTTATCAGGGATGTCTTAAATTGATATTTCGCTGAAAGAAAACATATCCTGCTATAGTTGTGTCAATCACTTTTAAAAAGAGTCAACCTATTCTAAGTAAATCAGAAAAAAAAAGACGAAAGCGAGTAATACATTCTATCTTGTATTTTAAGAAATAGAATGCCCTATAACAACGCAAACGTGCATGAGAAACTCGAACAGGTGAAACATATCAAAGAAAACTTGTAGTTTTTTACAATTATAAAGGATTATAAAAGACAAATTTGCATATCTGTTTAAATGTCATAGGATTCTAAAGCACCAGAAAGGGTACATTAAAATGACAGACAAGACCCGCTAGTGTCCCATTTAAATCTATAGTCTATACTTTGTTTGCATAGGATAAGGATGGATTTTCGAAAGGTATCTTCGAAGCAAGTTCTTGCTACAATAATATGACATAATTTTTCTATTCATAATCAAAAGAAGCTGAGATATTTCTTCGTTTTCTTTGCAGCTTTTGCTACGCCTATACATGTAGCTATTTTTTTCTAAACCTTACATGGTTACATGAAAATTAAACGATGCGGTCATTTTCTGACCATTTACGGTTCATTCAATCTTAAGTCATTCGAAACACTAAGGTTTTTCTATCCCAAGGCATACATTTGTAGATGTCACTAACAATACTAAGCACATATCATTCGAAATGTGATGTCTATGTTATTCATCTTCGTTATTGACTTTACCTTCTATCTGTTTCGAGTACCACTTATTATCAACAGTCTTGTGACTAAACCTGCAACTTGCGTACTGAATTATCAGGCTTGGGTGATTTTGTATAACGAGTTAGTCGATATAACTGCTTGTATACCTTTCGTACCTTAGGGTAATACCTGCCCAGCATTCAGAACTCGTGAACTGTCATGAAATATCATTGATGCGGTCGTTTATTTTAATTTATTTTTCATATCAAATTTGAAACCCTAAGGGTTCTCTCTTCACAGTCATTCAATTTGATGCAGATACAATAGCGTCCATAAAATATGAAATCATTTGAAACGCTTTAGTTACTGCCCTGAGAAATATGTGGTCGGAGTCCTATTTTGCACACATTTTTGATTTTTCTCAGTTTTCAATACTCTTCGTTATTGATTTTGCCTTTTAATTTTTTTATTCGTTCGAAACTGCGGAGTCTTGTGTAGACGACAATAATAGCCAACTAAGATATTAGCCCGATATCTTTGGTGACTTTTTTGGTTTTATGTTTTATTGTGTTGTTTAGTTGCTGTCTCATTGACGTGTACCAAAACACAAATTTTATTTTTGTTTTGGTTATTTTATTCATCAACAAAAATCAATAAATGTACACATTAAATATAATTTGAAAAAACTCAATGTTCTAGTTAATTAACGTTTATTCTAGAACCACTGTTATTTAATTTGCTTATGACACACTAATGAACAAGTCTTCTCTGAAAGATCATCATGTTTAATTCATGTATGAATTGGAATCATTACATTGTTCACTATATGTACGTACATACGTATATACGTACATATTAAACTGCACTATTACCTTGTATTACAGATGGAAAACGATCATAACTCGAGTCATGGTTACTTTCGCAGGCAAAACTCTCTAAGGCACACATATGACATCTTTTGTAGGAATTTTTGTTTTTGTATGTACATCTTGCACAAGACCAATCTGTAACAAAAACAAAACAACAAGAACAAGAACAAAATTAATGAAAACTTTCAAGAAATAATGTACAGTCGTAAAGGAGTCCTTCCATGTTGCGAAGGAATCATTCCATGTAAATGAGTCCTCCCATGTCGTAAAGGAGTCCTTCCATTTCATAAAAGAGTCATCCCGTGTTGCAAAAGAGTTTTTCCATGTCGTAAAGGAGTGTTTCCATGTCGTAAAAGAGTCCTTCCATATAGTCCCTGTTATTAACCTTAACTCTACCAAAGCACACAGTTGTAAAAAGAGTCTTTTCGTGTCTTAAAAGAACCATTCCATGTCGTAAAGAAGTCTATGTCGCAAAGGAGTTATTCTAGTCGTAAAGGAGTTCTTCCTTGTCGTAAAGGAGTTTTTCAATGTCGTAAAGGAGTCCTTACACGTCGAAAAGGAGTTTTTCCATATAGTCCCTGTTATTTATCTTAACTCTACCAATGCACACAGTTAAAGAGAAAGTGGTTTGGTATTGTTAAAATGACATATAAAATATAAAATTCGTAAGGGTTCCGCGGAACCCAGTGTCTCGCCTACTTTTTCTGTTAATCGCAGACTCAACAAAAATGAGGAAGTAAATCAATAAAAATATTCCTCTTGATACTATCTTTTGATTGTAAGAAGCTTCTGTCCAAGTTTGGTAAAATTCCAGGATAGTTTATGATTTAAAATAACTGTTTAAAACTTTAACTGCAGACTGAATGTAATGTTAACTGGAAGAAAACAAAATTTCCTTCTAGATACTAGCATTTGATCATAAACAAGCTTCTGTCCAAGTTTGGTACAAATCCAAAATAGTATAAGAAAGTTATTAAAATTTTAAAACTTTAACCACAGAGTGAATGTGTTGTTTCCTGGCAGAAAATCTAAGTCCATTTAAAAGTAAAATAAGGAAAAAATGGATTTATTTTTTTACAAAATTTACTTCTAGATACTCTCTTATGATCATAAACAAGCTTCTGTCCAAGTTTGGTACAAACCCAGGATAGTTTAAGAAAGTTATTAAA